AGCCCAGCCCCGGTGTGCTCCCCAGTGCCATCAGGGAGGGAGCAGAGCCCAGCCAGAGCACAGCTCTCCTCCTCCTCCATCCTTTGGCACCAGCCCATTAGGAAAGAGGGTTTTGTCGATCAGCCCAGCACATTAGGAAATGAAACAGGCTGTGCCCAGAAGCTTCCCCAGGGGTCCATTAGCACTGGCAGATCCTTCCTCCAGCCCGGCAGGTCCCAGAGGATGCTTTTGCTGGCGATTTCCTCCCATGGCGCAGGGGGAATTGTCTGGGACAGGGTGCTGGCAGGGCTGCTGCATGAGGGGAGGAAAGGGTAACCTGCTGCTCTGGGTGTAGGGTGCTCACATGTAAGGTGGGCTGCTGGAGTGACATGAAACCCCTCCGGATATGAGGGTGGAACACGCAGGCACGATCCAATTTGCTAATGCATTTCCTGGCTTGGCATCAACCCCCAGAGCTCCAGGATCATGTCTGAGGTCTCTGTCCACCTCTGGGGCTGGAGGTGGTGGTGGGAGACGGGGTGAGGTTCCCCAGGGCACAAGCAGAGAAACCAGTCCGTTAACGCATCTATCAGGACAAGCTGTTACCGATCGCCAAGGGAGTGAGGAGCATTGCCATCTCAGCATGGGCATTGCCACCCCACGTGGAGCAGTCTTAACCCCCAGGCAGAGCATCCTGCTTGTGTTTAATTCTTTCCTGCGGTTTTTGTCTCCTCCACAGTTATAAGAGCGTGGTGACACCCCGGCGGGCAGCAGTGGCCATTGCTTGCTGTTGGATCGTCTCCTTTCTGGTGGGACTCACCCCTATGTTTGGCTGGAACAACCTGAACAAGATGCGGAGGACTCAGGAGCTGAACGCCAGCCACACGGAGTTTGTCATCAAGTGCCAGTTTGAGACGGTCATCAGCATGGAGTACATGGTGTACTTCAACTTCTTCGTTTGGGTCCTGCCTCCCCTGTTGCTGATGCTGCTCATCTACCTGGAAGTCTTCAACCTCATCCGCAAGCAACTCAACAAGAAGGTCTCCTCCAGCTCCAGCGACCCCCAGAAGTATTATGGGAAGGAGCTGAAGATCGCCAAGTCATTAGCACTGGTCCTCTTCCTTTTTGCGCTCAGCTGGCTCCCTCTGCACATCCTCAACTGCATCACCTTGTTCTGCCCATCCTGCGAGACGCCGCACATCCTCACCTACATTGCCATCTTCCTCACCCACGGCAACTCAGCCATGAACCCCATCGTCTACGCCTTCAGGATAAAGAAGTTCCGGACAGCCTTCCTGCAGATCTGGAACCAGTATTTCTGCTGCAAAACCAACAAAAACGCCAGGACCACCACAGCCGAGACGGGCAACTAGGAGCTGGGAGAGATCAGAGAGGGGTCCTCCGTGCCCAGCCCAGTCCCCACCTGGCCACAGTTCCTGCTGTCAGGGGAAGGGGTGGTGAGGACCTGGAAAGGCTGAGTTCGCCAGCCCTGTGCAATCCGAACAGCCGTGTCCCCCAGCTGCCCCAGGAGATTATTTATTCACAAGCATCGTACTGTTTTGATATTGTAGCCTGCACTGTTCCTTTCCTTTTTTTTTTTCCTGTTTGTTTTTGTTTTTCATTTTTTTAATGGTTGCCAAGTATTTAAGGAGAAATTGTACAGACAAAGGCGCAGTTTATCTTCATGCAAATAAAGTGAAATGATAAAAACCACCCAGGAGGTCCTCTGCCATTGATAGAGACCTCTGGCTCCTTGGAGCGTGGCAGTCGGTGATGCTGGGGGCACCTCACGCTCTGGCCCCCCATCCATGGGCCCATGGGGGTACCTGGGCACTGGGGCAAAGGCGTGCCCCGGTGGGAGTGAAGCTGCTGAGAACCAGGAAAACCCAGGGCAATGTGATTTCTACAGCTCTGAAGCTGGGAGCTTTCAAGCCCATTCTTTCCCTTCCATAACCAGGGAGAGGTGAGCTGGGCTGAGACATGGGAAGAGATAGGAAAAGGCATCCCATGGCAATGCCAGCACCCACAGGGTGATGAACCCACCATCCCCACAGAGCAAAGGGTCAGTCTCCAACTCTCAACGCTACCAGAGAGGTAGGTAGAGGGAAAAGGAAACTCAAGCATAACCCCAGAGTACTCTGCAAGAAGTACCCTTTGCTGCCCCGATGGCTCCCCATGGACCCCAGCAGCACCCAGCACCCCTGCGAGCTACACCCAGGGAGCTGTGTCCCCTCCATGTGTCTTCTCTCTCCTTTCACTTTCACTTTAAGTCATTTTTCCCTCTTTTCTCCTGCCTGTCTTCTGTGCAAGGCAGTAGCAAGTCTCCCAGCCCCTTTTTCTCATCTCTCCCCTGTCACTCCCTACCACCCCCACTGTGCAGCCAAACCCTTTTGACCCAAGCCTTGTGGGTTAATGCAGCCACCTCCATGGCCCAGGGGAGCAGAGAGGCACCTGCGCCCATTTGGGGGCAAGTGGGGGAGGGCTGCAGGCCACTGTGTCAGTGTTGATGCTGCCACAGGGGCATTCCCCCCCGCCCCACGCAGGTTTAGCCATGGGCAGGGTGTGTTGTTGGTCACATTGAGGAGGGGGTGGCTGGGGATGGACCATCACCCCCACCCAGCTCTGTGCTGCCCATGGCTGCTGGCAGCCACACTGCCAGTCCCTGCTCTGCAGCAGGATCTCTTCCAGGGCTGAAGAGGTGGTGGGAAGAGTTAATCTGAGTTAATTGGGATTCTTTTCTTATCAGCATCCCTTGTTCACCAGCCTCCCATTGGAAACACACTTTCTATGACCCTTCCCCTGCCCCAGGAGGGTCATGCCCCTCGGACGTCACCAATGGGCAAAGTGACTGCAGCAAGTTCCCGCAGGGGCTGGGAGAGGGTGCAGAGAGGAAAAGGACCTTGGATGGGTGAGATTTACGGGTGGCTCTTTAGCTGGCTATGGAGAGCAATGCTGTGCACATGTAGCACAGGCAATGGGGCTGCTGGGTGTCCCCTTCTCCCACTGCTGCAGCCAGCTGTGTTTAGCCTGGAGGGAATTCCTCCATTTCTCTGAGAGGAAGAGGAGGGCAGCAAAGAGAGGAGATGAGGGGCTCAGCCTCTCACATTTTGCAAGGGCCTCAATATACCATATCCAGGCTCCTGGCTCAGACCACACTGGGCAAAACAGGAGCAGAGCAGAAGAGCAATGGCAAGGACAGGAGCAAATCCTTTCCTTCGGGCTCATCGTGATGGAGGGGTCCTGAACACCCGCTCAGCCTCCTCAAGGTGAAGAACCCAAAATCCTTTATCAGTAGTGCCTGAGGATGCTGCAACCCCAGGCTAGCGCAGAGAGGACCCCCCCTACCCCATGCCCATGGTCCCTTTGCACAGCAGCAGCTTGGCCTCAGATTAGGGCTGCTGTTTGCCGAGCACAGGTCTGATTCCCACTTGCATCTTATTTCTGCAAGAGGCTGCTTTCCTGGAACTGATGCTTCTGCCTGATCCTTGCTAAGGTGCCCAGAAACCTGACGACTGGGATGCTCATAAATTAAAAGGCACGTGAATGATTGCTTTCAGAAAAAACATCTAGTGGATTTTTCCACTCCATGCTCTCTGGACCTTTCCTGGGGAGAGCTCACTAAAAGTGGATGCTGTTACCCACCCCGGTCCCCTGCTGGGTTATAATCATGGTCTTTGCCCTGTAGGATGGCATTAAGAGTCTGGAAAGGGCACAGTGTGCAGCATGACACAGTCTTGGAGATGCTGCTTCTCCCCTGTGTTAGCAAACCCCCGGCTAACAAGACCGCTCCCAGCCCCTGTCCCCCAAGCCACATGCTGAGATGCCAGGGACACCAAGGGGGCCAGGACATCCCCATCAGTGTCCAAGGCCAGGTGTGACCATGCCAGGGGAAGACCTGCTCTCAACCTGCCAGCTGGACTGCAACCTCCACGCCGGTGGCATCATCGCTAACCCCAACCACCTCAATAAACCAGCCTGACCATCAGCTGGGATAAAAATTAATCCGACAATGCCCTCTGATGGTGGAAACAATGTCTGGTGTGGACAGTGCTGTGCTGGTGCTGAGCCCCTGGGAACAGCAATACCCCCATGGACTTCAGCTTGGGCATGGAGAGTAGGTGACTGGGGGCAGACGGGGACGAAGCACAGGGACTGTGCAGGAGAGAGGCTGCAGAGAGGGGTCAGCTATTTTAGCCATAGGCACTGCCTGGCTTTGCTCTCCAGTGGCACCGAGGGCGGGCTGGGCTCAGATCTGCGGGTGCCCAGGCTGGATTTGCACCCACGTTTGCAGTGCCAGGGCCTGCCGGGATATGCCTTTCTCTGGCATATGCAGGACCGAGGTCTGGCCCCATGACCAAGCTGGCACGTGGCTGGGAGATGCCCTCACCCACGTGCCAGACCCATCAGCCCGAGAGGGAGGTTGTGCTGGCGGAGGAGGTACACCGTGGTGCTGAACCCTGGTTAATGATGCGCTTAGTCAACTTGATAGATCTGTCTGGGCTCTCTGTTAATAAACAGCACCTGACCCGAGCTGTCTCAGAGCTGTAAGTAACGAGTCATCTTTTTGCACATGAGCTATCAGTAGCTAATGGAGCTGATTCCTCTTCCTCCGGATAACGCATCGGCATGTCCTGCGCCACCGTCTCATGCCACGGGGAGGGGATGCTGGTGGCAGCGCATGGCTGGATCATTGCATCACTGGCAAGATAAAGAAATTGTGCTTCGATGAAGAAGCATCGACATGCCACAGTTTTGATGTTGCTATTTTTTTCCCCCCAGCCAGAATCATTCTCCAGCTCCAGAAGGAAACTTTTCCCGATCCTCCTCCTTCTCCTTGTTGGGTTGCTTCTGGTTTAGTTTTCTTCATATGTATTTTATAAATCTGGTCCTTTCTTTCCAAAAACCATCTCTTCCACCCATGGTTCAGTGAGATGCTATATGAACCCGTAGCATACCTGGTAGCTCTCTCCCCTCTACCTCCCCCCACCCAAGCCAACACCACAACAAGAAGGACAGAGTGGTTTGGATTTTTATATAAGGACCAAAGCCCCTCAGATGGGCTCATTTTATTGTCACAGCTAAGGACACATTCAGAGAGGACCATGCCATGGCAGGCTGAGGTGCAGACCCCACCAGAGCACTGCCAGGGAGGGGGCAGGCCCGCAGGCAGCAGAGGCCATGGCCAGGAGCATCACCATGTGCCACGCTACTGCACAGCAGCTGCAGCATCCACCTGGGGTAAAGGAACGAGATCTGAGTCCTGTGAGGGCACCACTGCCGAGAGACCAGTGGTCAGAGATGAGATGGGAAACCATGTCCCAGCCATAGCTCTAATGCAAGACAAACCCAGCCCAGCTCTTCCACCCTCTCCTGCCCCACAAAATTCAGATGCAACCCTTTAACTCTGCTTTTCCACCCCGCAGCCCCATTTCACACCCCTTTATACCTGCCCCCAGCCCCAGTACCTGCCCCTCATGTGCATCCAACCCCTGGTGCCCCAGGTCTCTGAGCCCTGCCTGCAAATTTGGGCTCTGCCCGCCGTGCTGCCCATGCATCTGCCAGGCACACCAGTCTCCACATGCATCCTTGTCCTCCTGGCCGTATATACAGCCCTCCCTCCACCTTGCAAAGGGGTGGGTTTCTCTCGGACTCTGCAGCATCCCACCCCACCAGTGCATCTCCAGCCATGGGATGAGGAAGACCCGAGCTGGGGCTCCATCGGCAGGTGACAAGGGCTAATCCAGGACACTCGACCCACTCCATCCCCGATGAAGTGATCCACCCCCCCTCCATCCCACAGCCCCAGCCCAGACCTACCTTGCTCTTTGTCTTGCCCTCTGATCTGTCCTCACTGGGGCACTGCAGGAGAGTACAGGAGATATAAACCCCCTGAACTCCCCTCATCTTATTCCCCTTTTGACTTCCAAAAGTGAGCCAGGGCATAGCCAACTTGCTCATGTGCGCACACCAGCGTGCACCTACGCACCCCATCCCTGTACACACATGCTCCGAGCAATCACACACACCACCATCACTGCCTGCTCCTGGCCAGCTTGCCCCCAAGATCCCAGCCTGGGTGACTCCCAGGTGCTTTGTGTCCCCAGCACAATGACAAGCTCATCCTCCTGGCCGACTTCACCACGCTGCCTGCATGGCTGCACTGACAGCCCTGCCTGCAGGGCAGTGTGGCCGGGGCCAGCTGGGTCAGTGCTCGCTGTACCGGCTGGAAGCCCTGGCACCAGCTGCTGCAGAGCCAAGCACCGACCCCGTGCCACACCGGCAGCCCTGAAGCTTCATCGGGGACCGAAGGTGCCTGGCGCCTGCTGGGTTGGAGCCACGCCTGCGTGGGAAGTAGGGCAGAGCGTGTCTCGGGGCAAGCGTGTGCTGGGAAGCCATGGGAGGAGAAATAATAAAAATGACATGTGTCTACGGACACACCGCCACTTGAGGAATATGTGTATAGTGTGTGGGCATGCATCCTCCTGCATGCCAGGGCGGGTCTGCAGCATGCAGAGGAGGCGTCTGTGGGGAGCAAAGCGGGGCACCTCCATGCAAGGGCTGGGCTGGGTTCTCTGCTGAGGCAGGGAAATGTGAGCTGGAAAGTCTGGGCAGGATCCCGAGACATGAATCAGAACAACCCAGGTGCAAGTGGAGGGGGTTCAACACAGCCCCCGCACACATGGCTTGTGGATGGCTTGGGACACAAGTGCTGTTAGACGCAGTGAGGGGCAAGCGACTGTCCCAGCCTCCACCAGCACCTCTGGTCCTTTGGCTCTGCAGTTTCTGGTTTCCTCCTCATTTTTTGGCCATGAATGGGGGAAGGAGATTTCAAGATGCTTAGAGACCATAAACCCAAGAAGCCCGAAGCTCCAGCTCCACAGGGCTGACCAGCGTCCTTAGGCTCCCCCATCACCAGGATCAACACAAAACAGGGACAAACCACACCACTGTGAAAGTGAGAACAGGAAAAGGCAGGCAAGGAGACTTGCTCCTCTATCTCCTCGGCCAATCTTACCTTTCACATCAAGTTTGCAGTCTACTGAGGCTTCCCCCAAGGGGTTCACAGCTTTGCAGGTGTAGATGCCCCCATCGAAAGGGCTGGGCTTGCGGATTTCCAGGGAGCAAACGCCCTGCTCAATCATCGCTATGTATTTGGGGTCTTCCCGTATTTCCATCTGATTTTTCATCCAGATGATTTTGGGCTGGAAGGCAGCAGGATTTATTTATTTGTTTAAAGCAGGGAGAGAAATAAGAAATCTAACTGGCCCCAAAATGGAGCCACCTCCCTCTGCCTTTGCCTTGGCCCTGCCTGAAGCTGGTGGCCATGGTGGGATTCACAGTCAGAAGTAGTTTGAAGAGCTAAATATCCCATTGTTGAGCCCTAACCACTGCTCCACACTTCCTCCCCCAGTGCAGAAGGAAACAGGACATGGCTTGAATTAAGACCAGTCTCCCATCTCCATGCAGAAACACCCCAAACTTGCCCCAGTTTGACTCAGAGGGCAGCTGCAGCCCCCTAACCTCATCCAACCCTAACCCAACATGACCAACCGTCTCCCAACACCTCCAGCCTCCTTGCAAAAACCCCACTGGCGGCTGCCCACATGCAGAGGCGATGCTGTCCATGGAGGAACCACTGACCTGGGGGAAGCCCCGGACGCAGCAGAAGAGATGTGTGCTGTAGCCCCGGGTGGTGGTTCGGTCTGTCAGGGGCTGGGTGAACTTTGGAGGCTCCATCATGTCCCGCTGGGGGATCTTCTCTGGCTGGTAAGCAGTTTCTAAGAAAATAATTCTAGGTTAAGGCAGAGCTCGGGCTCCTGGGCTGACCAGCACATGGTCACAGGGATTCAGCCCAAGGTACCCCAAAATACTTCTGCTCCCTCACATAACAAGCCAGACCGCATCTAGCCTGACCCGAGGACCTGGCCTTCAGCTCAGACCAGCCCTGTCTATAAATCCCTTCTCATCCAACCATGCCATGTTAGTGCCCAGTCCCTGTGGGGGACAGGGGAGATGCCAGTCTGCAAACCAACACCGTGATGTGTGCTATGTGCAGCATGTCGGATCCAGGCCAGGCACCTCTCTGGATCTCCTATTCCATCCCCAAAATTCAGTGCACAGAAATAGGAGCTGGAGGTAAGCTCTGCAGGTGGCAGAGACCCCAACTCACTGTGTGCTACCAGGGAGCAGGATGGAAATAGGTGGAGGGAGAGGGGGGCTGAGGGATGCTGGTTTGGAGATTTGGCCCTGAGATGGACCACTGCAGGGGTCTCTTCGTCTGCTGGCCCTGAGCTGCAGGGCCAAAGCCAGGGCTGTTCCTCACCCCTCCGGGCTCCTGCTTCGATCTCACCCCGGGGATGTCCATGCCTTCATCCCTCCCAGGGGGCTGACCATGGCACAAGCCTTTCCCAAAGGAGAAAGGAGGTGTAGAAGGAGGGCCTCTGGACCTCTGCCTTGGGGATGCACAGCCTCACCCCTTCAGGGCTCGTCCTGGGGACCAGCCCAGCAGCATCACCACAACACCAAGGAAGCCCCACTAGCCCCAACGGGGACAGAATCCCTCTTGCCCACCACCCCCCCCAACTCCTTAGCCAGGGCCTTGTCCCCACTTGTCTTCTTGATGTGGGCCACCCCGGAGGTGACAGCTGCTTTCTCGCTCAGCCCACAGGCGTTTTCCGCAAACACCCGGAATGAGTAGGTATTGCCAATGATGAGGTCAGAGATGGTGCAGCTGGTGCGGGTGCAGCGCTCCAGTGCCGTGAACCATTTCTGGGAGGAAAAAAAAGAGTGGTGAGGAAAGGCAGGCTGTCCAAAGGATGGAGAAGGTGCGGGGGGAGACGGGTGTGCAGCTCCCCCTCTCCCATCAGGACATCCCCAGCACCAGGGCACGGGGGCCCAGGAGTGCCCAGACTCACCCCACTCTTCTTGTCTGACTTCTGCACCGTGTAGCCCTTGATCTCAGAGTTCCCGTTGTCCACCGGAGGGGTCCACTCCAGGGCCACATTAAAGCCCCACACATCCACCAGCTTCAGGTTCTGGGGGGGGCCCGGTGGCTCTGCAAATACAGTCCTTCACAGGGTGGCATCCTGATTTGCTCCCCCCACATTCTGTGCCTTGACCATCCCTTGCACCTCGCTTTTAATCTCTTCTCACCCTGTTGCAGCACGCAAGGGATGGGAAGCTGCGATGGGCATGGGCTGGCAGAAAACCTGCCTCCCCAACCGGAGGAGTTCACCTCCATGATCCTGGAGAGGACCCCACTGGACGAGGGACCCCAGAGCCCTGTCCCATCCCACCCAGAACAAGAGCTACCCCCAACCAAGGGGCAGAAATGAGCCCCAGAGTGACCCTGCAGGGTCCCATCCCCAGCCTTACCAATCACTCGGATGTCCAGAGTAGCCTTGTCCTCTGCTCCGTTTATCCGCACAGCGAGCTCGTACTTGCCCGAATCGCTGCGCTGCGCCTTGCGGATGTAGAAGATGGTGTCCTTCTCCGTGTTGCGGATGTTGATGTGGCTGGTGTCCAGGGGCTGGTCACCCTTGGTCCAGATCACCTCGGGCTGCGGCTTTCCCTGGAGCAACCCGCACAGGCATGTTAGGAGCCGCTCGAGCGTACAGTCCCAACGGGTCCTGCTGGGAAGGACGGGTGGGCAGAGCCACCCCACTTTGTCCAGACAGCAGTGGCCTGGATACGGCCTCTCCCATCCAGCAGTCCCCAGGGAAGAAACTACAGACGATCCCTGCCAGCCCCACTGACGGGAAGCCATCAGGCTCCAGGGGCGATGCTGGAACGTGCTGGTCACCCAAAGTCCTCATGGAGCAAGCCCAGCTTTACTTGCCCAGGGCACTGCAGGCAGAGCTGTGCTCCTGTTGCCCAGGCACTGAGCTCAGGTTCAAGCCTAGCAGCAAGGGCTTGAATTCAGCATCCAGGGCCAATTCATGCCTGGAGTATGGCCAGCGCAGGCTCCCAACCGCCTGTGAGACATGGCATGGACATGTCCCTCATCTCAAGGGCAGCTTTCTGCCTCTTGCTTCCCCCTGCTTGGCCAGCATGTTTCAGGGCTGGTTTTCTCCATCGCAGACACCATAGTGGAGATGCTTTGGTGGTGCCCCAGACAGCATGCGATAGATCAGTTGAGGAGAGGACCTCCAGCTTGGCCCACCAATGTCAGCATCGCTCCCTCCATCACACAGCCCTGGGGCTGCCCTGCTCCAAAGGCAGCTGCTCTCCCCAAGGGGACCCCCACTGTTGTGCTGTGGGGTCCTGTGGTATGTGGCCAGATCCCTGCCAGGCTCGGCCAGGAGCACAAGCTGAACAGGGCTCGTGTGCTGAGACAGCAGCAATAGCTAGCCCATGCCCTAGTGTGTTTGGGGTGTCCCATTGCCAACACCATCAATAAAGACATAGCAGGAGAAAAATGGGAGCTAGGCAGGAATGGGAGAGAAGTTCCCACCCCATCTCCCACCCTCGACCCATGAGACATGGGGACCAGGACAAGCCAGCCCACAGCTGGCCCCAGGCATGTCATGGTGGCTAGAAAAGTCACTGCAGAAGCTAACCTGTGGTGAAAAAGCCTGCGGGATTAAATCCCAAATCGTCCACCTACCTGGAAAGGGATCATCATGTTCACAGCATCCCCAACACGCCTGACATAAGTCTGCCGCAGGTGACGGGGCATGCGGATCCTCGGGAGCTCTGGGGACCAGAAAGACATGCCATGGGGCCAAGGAAATCACAGCCCCCAACCCACCCCACACATCCGCCTGCTTGGCCATCAAGAAATCCCACCCAGAAACATGGCCACTTCTTTCCTCTCATCTCCTGGACAGTGCTTACTTCCCTGCAGGGTCATGCCAGCCTACCCCATTGCCTGCACCCCAAAATTATATCCATCCTTGAGATACCAGGCCACCAACCCAATGGACCATTCACCCCCCTCATTATAGCCAGGCCATGGAGACCAACATGGGCTTAACCAGAAGAGTCACAGTGCAGCCTACACAGTAGCAAGGCAGAGGACAGCATCTGCTAGTTAGGAAATATTTCTCCCCCAGCTCAGAAAGCAGACTTTCCAGAGGCACACAACCCAACTTCCAGCAAGGACAGGGCTCGCCAGACCTCCACCTTCACTGTGTGCTCAAGGCCATCAAGAGACCAAGGTGGTGCATGGTTACTCACAGCAGAGCTGTGAAAGCCCCAGGCTTAAAATGAAGGCTAACGTCCCCAAGGGAACATAACAAAGATAAGCAAAAACCCACTGGAGAATGCTGATGGAGCGTGTGTCTCCTTCCCGGGGTGAAAATAGCAGCCGTGTAACCCTACCAGCTCAGTGCCGCTCGGTGACCCTGCTGGAGAGGCATTGGGTTTACGTGAGCCCCTCATAAAAGAGCTGTGTGTCTCTGCCCGGATTAAACGTGCTGGAGCTTAGCTCTGGGGAGGGGGCACGGCCAGAATTAAACCAGGACTGAGCAATGGCTAAACAGCTGTGAGCGTGAAACGCCGGCAGTGGGCTGGGGAGGGCAGGGAGATACCCGGCAGTCCCAGATGGCCCCGCCGACAGCTGAGACGGTCTCTGCTCTGCTCATGCTGCTATTTGCTCCATGCATCGATGCTGCCACTTGGGCACATCAGTCTCAGCGGGGCAGAGAAACCTGACCTCGACAGAGGAATGTTAATTCATGGGTGTTTTCCCCAGCTCACGCGTGCCTCACTCAGCCAGAGAGGGCTGGCCGAGGTCGGTGGTCCAGGTGACATGCTGCTGCGGGTGTGAAGGCTCCCTGTAAAATGCGACTCCCACACTGAATCTTCAACTGGTTTCTCCTCGTCTCTCTCCACTTCCCAAACCCACTCATCCCACCTGTTTTTAAACTCTCTGCTGTCTGTATTGCTGCTATTTAAAATCCCTTGTGATGCTATAAATGACCCAGTGAGAGGTACAAAATGCAGTCCCAAATAAAATGTGAAGACCAGAAGGTAACAGATGGGGCAGAGATGAGCGGACTCATGCACCCAACACACACCAGCGCCGCTGAGGTGGACACGGGGAGGCAGAGGGACATTGAGGGCTAATTTGTTCCTCAGCAAAGCCAGGCAGTGTGCCCAGGGCTGTATTTCAAATGAAGTGCAAAAGTAGGCAAGTGCTGTTTGCTGATGAAGAGTTTCAGTTACCAAAAGGAAAAGAGAGAAGAAAAAAAACCCACTAGCGTGGAGCAAGAGCAAGTTGTGCATGGGTCTTTCAGTTCTTTGGGGTTTACACCTCTCAGCCGGTACACGTGGCTGGGACAAAGCTCAGGCAGCAGGGACAGCGGGTTTGAACTGGCGGGTGCAGCACGGGACTAGAAGTGGGAAACACGAGCTGTGTATTTGGCATCTCATGCCAGTCCCCTATGCTTCAGTTTCCCCAGTCCCACAAGGTATGGTGGGATGCCTTTGAGATCTGGAGGAGAACACAGCAGCAGACCCCAACCACTAAGCCACATTCACCTCCTCCAAGCAGACCAAGAGGACAGACCCTGCAGGACCCTTTCCAGATGCTGATAGCCTTCTCCAAGCCTTTTCCTATGAGAAGCTGATGGTTCCTGGAATAACTTTTGTTATTATTATTACTATTTTTAAGCAGCTGAAAAATCCGACGTGTTCTTTGAGTAATAGGAAAACTTCCGCATTAATAATTCTTTGTAAAGGGAAAATAAACCTGTATTTGCTGTTTGATAAGTGAAAACCAGCCTTGCAATCATACATCAGCCTCAGCATGTTTGCAGCACCCCGGGAGGAATGCGAGTCTTGCTAAGCATGGGAGCAAGTCATTCATTAGCGAGTTCAGCATGATTAAAGTTCCCATGCTCCAGACTACCGGCTCCTGACTTTCCTTAGCTAAATAAACAAAGCTGTCCGACGTGTATGTGATGGCATATGAGAGATGTAAGCATGGCCAAGGAGAGGAGATGTGCTGAAAGTGAGACTGTTTCTGAGCTCTTGCAATGAAATGGGAAAATGTGGCTCTGCATTTTGAGTCCTTCACCCCCAAAGCTTCACCATCTGCAAGATCAGTGTCTTGAGGTCGGGAAGCTACTCCATCCCACCCCAAGGGAACTGAACAGAGTTATTGAGAATAACATCTTGGTCAAAGGCTGGATTACGACGTGTGAGAGGGCAGAGGCTGCTCAGGCTGCAGGGATGGACTGTGATTTCTTTGTACCGCTGACAAAGCACATGGGAATGATGCATAGCAGGAGCAGTACTTACGGAGGATCTCTCTGATGAGGACTGGCTGCGCCAAAGTAGCTGGGACACTGGCACCGCTGGCGCTGACAGCCTTCACCCGTACATGGATCTTGTCACCGGAGCCGAGGTCCTGGATTGTGTACCGGGTGGAAAGAAAAGGCTCCTCATTCACAACTGTCCAGTCTGTACCTACAATGAACCCAGCAGAGTACTTCAGGCGTGCAGTGGACAGGCAGACACACACCCCAAACAGCAGGATCAAGCCACAGGGGGCGAAACCCAGAGGCAAAGAACCCATTCCTTGCAAAGGCTGAATGATTTGCAGCACCAGCAGAAAAAGGTATCTTAGAGGGTAGGTTGACCACCCCACCCTGCCAAGGAGTATGGGGTACAAAATGCTGGCAGAAGCTCAACTGTTGAGCAGGAGGCTATGTGCAAGTAAGAAAAGGCATTAGGCCAGCAAACATGGTTCCCGCTGACCTTCCAGGTGCATTTCTGGAAGTAGTTAAGATCCTTTGACCACCCTGCCAGCCAGACTGCTCCTCTTACTGCCCCAGGATAACTCGTTGGGGCTCACCATGTTCCCCAGCGCATCCTCCACATTGGACAAGGTCTGCTCATCACCTGCCACCAACCATCTAGACCTCTCCAACTGTTCCTCCTTCTTGGAAGGGGCATCTCAAACTCACCCCACAGCCAAGACGTAGAATCCCTCCCACATCAGGCAGCTAACACAGCCTTGCAATGTGCCAAACCTCTTAAGAGGTTTCTCAGTTAGAAAACAGACTGCCCCGGTCACCAAAGGACTGGGTGTCCCAGGCGGACAACTAGAGCAACCCATATGTGCCAGGGTTTGCTAAGCCACCACGTGCACTTTCAGACCAAGAAGGTTTTCCTGTCAGT